AGTACTGTTGCTTCATAAAAATGAAGTTTTTCTTCATTTTCTACATTCCGAAATAATTCATGTAGCATTGAGAATACATGGTCTCTAAAGGTTTTGCAGAAACCCTATGAAATACCTGGGCTTGATGTTTTGTGGGATAGAGCCTTGACACAACTCTGTTCCTTTTATAGAAATTATCTAAGTTTATTTTTTTTAAACCTCAAATGAAGTCAATTTTCTTAAACTATTTTCCTAAGCAATAATCCACTTCATCTATGATTTCAAATTTACAAAGAGGTGTGAAAAATAGTTGAATGATTCTAAATTTTCTCTATCATTTACCCCTTGCCATTTCTTATTTTGTATTTTTGTGCTTTCTCTTTTCTCCCTTGATTAAACTAGGTAGTGGTTTATTTTGTGATTTTTTCCCCAAAGGCCCAGGGTTGATTCATCATTTTGACATATAGTTTCTCTGTTCTTCAACTCACTAATATCTACTTACATCTTTATTATTTTTTTGTTTTTGTTTTTGTTTTCTTTTTGCTTACTTTGTTCTTTTTTGAGTTGGGAATTTATTTTTGTTCTCTTAGTGTGTTAAAGTAACCAGATTAGGCCCAAGATGGAGTTGCTCATGCTAAGCTCCACATCAACAAACCAAAACTTCTATTTCTATGCTCAGGTCTCCCAGAAAAGGCCTAGGTCAATCTATCAGTACTTACCTGCTCAGCACAAGTTAACTGACCCAGCTCCAAGACTTCCCTTTGCTCTATTAAGGAAAGTAATCCTGCTACAACCAATCAGCAAATGCCCATTGTAATTTCCTTGTTCCTGCTCACTTTGGTCTATACAGATATCCCTTCAGAGCCCCTTGCTATCCAAGACTGGATGCTCAGTAACTTATCAATTACTGAATAAACCCAGTAAGATATTCAAAATGTACTCAGTTGAATTTTGTTCCTTAAAAACTGACACAGGTATTTAGGAATATGAATTTTCCTGTGCTTGCTGCTTTTAATGCATTCCACGGATTCTAATATGTAGTAATTCATTATCATTTTTTAAAAGCTGCAATTTGTTTGCATTCCTCTTTTACTTCAAAGTTTTTTTTTTTTAACTGAGGCATTTTAATGCATATCAAGATCCAGAACTTTTCTGTCATTTTAAGCAAGCTACCTCATGTCCTTTCCTAGTCAATCCACCTCTTCCCCCTAGAGGAGTTGTAGCACCATTGGTTAATTTCACATATATTTAAGATACTGCATAAATGGGATAAAATTCTGACATTTTTATATCTTACTTCACTCAGCACAGTATTTTTTGAGACTTATCCGGATTATTGTATGTATGAATGGTTCATTGCTTTTTATTGCTGAGTAATATTGCACATTATCAAGATATTTCTCTCTTCTCCATCCAGATTTGACTACAATGAATAAAACTGCTATGAACGTTATTGTACAGTAAGTGCTCACTTGTTGTCAACAAGTTTTTGAAAATTGGGACTTTAAGTAAAACTACATAAAACAAAACCAATTTTACCACAGGCTAATTGATATAAAGGCAGATCTTCAAGTATATCCATCACTACATGGATTTAAGTTCCTATGGCTTATTTCTGGTCACAAATATATCATTAAACTTCTAAATAAAGACCTAAACCATTTCTAATATTAAACACTCAAGTAAATGTGAGTTGTACATACAATTATGAAAGATTAATTATTTTCCAACCCACTTATTCTAGTTCTGGGCTGAGGGTGTCCGGAGTCCACGCCAGCAGGCAGAGTGCACAAGGTGGAAACCAACCCTGGATAGGATGCCATTTCATCCCAGGGTGCGCTGTCACACACAACCATACTCACACTGGAACAATTTAGACACATCAATTCATCTAACATGAATGTATAAACTCCACACAGACAGTAGAACCAGCAGGGATTTTTCTCATCAGTGTTATGACAGAAAGACATTATTCGAGGACCTGTTGTACAAGACTTTTCAACATATAATTGGTTTCTAAATTTTAAGGTAGACGTGCCCTTTCGATTTTTGTTTTCTTTAGTTTACTGATGTTTTCATAACACATGGACAATTTTTGTGAATACTGTGTTTGAAAGAGAACATATTCTTCATTATTAGGATGTAGTCATGGATATATTTGAAGATTGGCTGATTGTTTAGACCTTTTATATCGTTATTTTTTGTCCACTACACCTTTCTTGTGTTAAAGTCTCCTATTTCTAGTGTTTCATTTTACTACTTGCATTTCTTAGTTTCTGCTTTATACAGACTGCTGTTTTATTTGGTATTTATAACATATCTTTGTTGTAAATTGTGGTTTTTAGAATTATAAACTGTCGTTTGTCTTGTTCAATGCTTTTTGGTTTGACTTCTACTTCGTTAATCCTGCTTTTTTATTATTTCTATTTGCCTGTTGTATATTTGCCCATTCCTTTACTTTTAGCTGTTTTAAAGGCCTTTCGTACGTAATGAGGTTGGGTTTTGATTTTTTGAGTCAATTTGAAAATTTTTTTCTTTTAATTGATGAAAGAATCCTCATTGATATGACCAGTATGATTTCAATTGTCATTATTTTGTTATTATTATTGTGTACACTATATTTACCATGATTTTTTTTTTTTTCCCCACATGATTGTTTTCTTTGGCCTTTTAAAAACTTCTTACAGCATTTTGGAAGGTTTGAATTAACACAAACATACCTGGGAGATATCATGCCCTTGGTTAATATTTGCACGTTCTGTTCCAGACCTCCGCAAAAAAGCGAATATTGCAATAAAGCCAGTTACAGAAGTTTTTTGGCTTCCCAGTGTATATGTTTTGTTTTCTATTACTCTTCCTTTCACGAATGTTCTCTGTAGCATGTGATATTGTTTGATAGCCTTTTACCCACAGTAGAACGTCTTTCAAAACTGGAGTCAATCCTCTCAAATCCTACTGCTGCTTTATCAATTAAGTTTACGTACTATTCTAAATCCTGTGTTATTTCAACAATCTTTGTAGCATTTTCACCAGGACTGGATTCTATATGAAGAAACCACTTTCTTTGCTCATCCACAGGAAGCAACTTCTCATCTGTTCTTTTATGGTAACAATACAGCAATTCAGTCACATCTTTAATTCTAGTTATCTTGCTACTTCTATTGTATCTGTGGTTACTTCCTCCATCAAAGTCTTGAATCCATCAAAGTCATCCAGAATTGGAATTAACTTCTTCCAAACTCCTGTTAATGCTGGTTTTTAATTTTTAAAACCTCTTCCCACGAAACACAGAGGTTCAAAATGGCATCTAGAATGGTGACTCCACTTCTGGTTTTCAATTTACTTTGCCTAGCTCCATTAGAGAAATTACTATTTATGGCAACTATATATAGCTTAATGAAATGTATTCTTACGTAATACTTGAAAGTCAAAATTACTCCTTGGTCCATGGGCTGCAGATGGATGCTGTTAGCAGGCATGAAAACAACATTAATCCTGTTGAACATCTCCATCACAGCTCTTGGGTGACCATGTGCATTGCCAATGAGCGGTAACATTTTAAAAGGAATCTTTTATTCTGAGCAGTAGGTCTTAACAACGGGCATAAAATATTCAGTAAACCAAGTTGTAAACAAATGTGCTGTCATTTAGGCTTTGTTGTTCCATTTAGAGAGCATGGGCAGAGTAGATTTAGCACAATTCTTCAGGGCCCTAAGATTTTCAAGATAAATTAGCACTGGCTTTAACTTATGGTCACCAGCTGCATTAGCTCCTGACAAGGGAGTCTGCCTGTCCTTTGAAACTTGGAAGCCAGGCACTGACTTCTCCTTAACTATGAAAGTCCTAAATGACATCTTCTTCCAATATAAGGCTGTTTCATATACGCTGAAAATCTGTGTTTAGGGTAGCTGTCTTCATTAATTAGCTAGATCTTCTGGATAACTTGCTTTCACCTTGCACTTTTATGTTATGGAGACAGATTCTTTCCTTAAACCTCACGAACCAACCTTTGGTGCCTTCAAACTTCTGCATCTTTCTCACCACTTTCAGCCTTCATAAAACAAGAGTTAGGGCTTTACTCTGATTAGGCTTTGGATTAAACAATGTTGTGGCCTGTGTGATCTCTATAAAAGCAAAAAAAAAATTCTTATCATTTGTGTGTTCACTAGAGTAGCACTTTTAATTTCAATAATTTTTCCTTTTCATCCACAACTTGGCTAATTGGCACAAGAGGCCTGGTTTTCAACATGCCATCCTCACCAAGCTTCATTATTTCTAGCTTTTGATTAAAGTGAGAGATGTGCAACTCTTCCTTTCACTTGAATACTCAGAGACTATTTTAGGGTTATTAATTGGCCTAGTTTCAATATTGTTGTATCTCAGGGAATAAGGAGGCCCAAGGAGAGGGAGAGAGATGGGGAATGGCTGGTCAGTGGAGCAGTCAGAACACACGTTAAGTTTGCCATCTAATGTGAGTGTGGTTCGTGGCACCCCAAAAACAATTACAATATTAATGTCAAAGATCACTTATCACAAATCACCATAACAAATATGATAATGAAAACCATTGAAATATTGAGAGAATGACCAAAATGTAACAGACAAACAAAATGAGCAAATGTTGGAAAAATGGCACCAATAGACTTGCTTGATGTGGGGTTGCCACAAACCTTAAATTTGTAAAAAAATCCCAACCAAACAAATCAGTATCTCTGAAATGCAATAAAGCAAAGTGCAATAAAGCAAAGAGCAATAAAACAAGATATCCCCATATCTTTTACAGTACCAGTTATCTTTTTGTTACCTAATCTTTTCCATTTTTCGGTTTCAGATGGCATCCTCTGAATCACTCATAATAGCTAAGCTGTATCATTAATCGTATTCTAGTTCCTTTTTCTTCCCTTTCTGCTCTAATTTCTTTTAGCTGCATTCTTTGTCAAAACATATAACATTTATGTACTATTCTTCTATGTCCCTACTCTTTATTCTAATCTTAGCTCAAAAATATGTGAAATACTCACTGTCAGTCTTTTTGAAGAAAATTTCCCAAACATTTCTTCCAGATGAAGCTCAGCCTTTAATAGTTTCCTTAGGAAGGGCTAATGAGTATAGTATTCCTCGAGTTCTTGGTATGTTCAAAAGTCTTGACACTTGAGGGACAATTGACTGAATATAAAATCATTGGTTAGCATTTTTACCTCTTGCTGCTCCACTGTTGTCTTGCTTTGTATGTTGCTTTTGAGAAATCTGGTAGCAGTTTAAATTCTCTGGCCCTTGTAAGTCACTTTATCTTTTTGCCTGGGGGCCCCGGGAATTTTTCTATATATATTTCTTCAGGCATGAACTTTCAGTATACTGATTCAGATCTTTTATTTCTAGAAAGTTTTCTTGGATGACAGCACTAAATATTAGAGCTTTATTTTTTTTCCTCTTGAGAGAAAAATTATTACACATTAGAATTTTAGACCCATCTTCCATTTAAAGTCAAGTTAAAAAAACAAATCTCATTTTCATTCTCTTGTTTCTCTGTTTTTCTTCAATGTCTTTTATTATATTCACATTTGAATCTATTGTCTAAGGGGGAATCTTATAGTCTTAATTTCTGGTATGATTTTGTTTTCTTCACTTTTCTGAGTTTAATCTACTCTGACTTCATTTCTGCCTGTTTCTGTTCCTTTCTGTTCTTTTATATTTGATTCAAGGTGTTTTTTTCCTCCATCAGTTGAAATGGCCTGATTCACACTACCTGTTTTTTCTTATATTAGTTCTATATGGATGAGTCCATTCTTTTCTATTCCGTTCATTTCATGGTCAGAGTTCCTAGGTCAAGGACACTCTTAAGTTTACTTTCTCTTTTCCTGAAGCATTATTGACTTTTTTCTTCTTCTTTTTCTTTATTGCCATTTCTCCAAGTCTCTGGCTTCACCTCTTCCCTACAAAGCACTGTTTATAATTTAAGGCTACCAACTGTGGTATTCTTTACTTTCAAGCTCTTCTTTGTGGTTAGAGCTGGGAACTATATCAAGTTTCAAACCTGTGTTCAGTATTTTGGAACTTAGTGTTGGATTTCTTTTGTAAGTGATATTTCATGCTTCATGTAAGTCTTCCACGCACAAACTCTCTTCAGTGAACCCGTTAAGCAGCCTTCCTTCTCCCACTCTTCACAGCCACAAGAATGGGCAGAAGGAGCTCTTGGAATCTGATTTACTTCTCTACTTATAGGTAATTTGAAGGCTGTGCTAATCTGTTTTTTATAATGCTGAAGACATAAGTGGTGTGTGATTTATACGTACTCTGTGTTGGTTTTATAACTTTATAGGAATGTGACTGGGAAAACTAGATCGGGCCACACCTAGAAGTCTATACATACATATTTAAGTAGTATATTTGAATATATTATCTTAGGACTACTGCTTTCGCCATTTTCTGAAACACTTAACCTGTCATCATTAGATTCACTTTTTGTATCATGTAATGGTATTCTAGAGTAAGTCATCATTTTCATCTAACCTGGTTCAGAAACACATTTTCCCCTATAGTTTATTTGCAAATTCCATAATAATCTTTTTTTTTTGCTAGTGATTTGGTCTCATGATTATTAATACTCATTAATAATTATTAGTACAACTAATATTTATAGGACACTTGGTATGTGTTAGGCACAGTCTAAACACTTAATGTGTAGTGTTTTATTTAATCCTTGTTAATATCATCTCTCTCATCTTAAAGATGAGCAAGCAGAGGCTCAAACAGGCTAAATAAATGACTTGCCCAGGGTCATATAGCTAAAATAAACACTAGCAATATGAATCAAGGAAACAATCTTAAATTTATGTTCAATTTTAACCTCCTTTCTCTTTCTTCTTAATTATGGTTTTAGGTAATGTACCTTTTTGAACACTTTGCTCTTCAAAATAAAACTGAAAAATCGTGTTAGGTGACTAGGACCTTGAATATAATGTAATGGCATTATTGCAGGTGGGGAAACCTCATCTAATATTTGGGCATATATGTATGGTAAGCCCTCATCCATCACAAAGGAAGTGAAAAGATAACATCTAAAATTCATGCATTCAGTAATATAAGCCTAATATTTAGATAGATATTAGGTAAAAAAAAGCTAAAAGAATTAAAAGTAGTCTCATGAGAGCTGAATTGGAAGAGAAAAGGATTGCTACAAGGGGTACTTTTTTGGCGGTACTTTTATCATTGCTTAACGTTGTACTATCAAGTACGTGTGTTTTAAAAAATGAGTTATTTTTAAAAAGTATAAACTATCTTTATAAAATTCATTAGACTTATTAAAATTGAGATTGATATTTGGCATTGGCAAGCTTATGTAGGAAGGCAAACTTATGCCATCTTTTTGGAAGGCAATTTGAAATAACTTATGAAAACTCAAAAAAAAATGAGTATGTCTTTTGACCAGGTAACTCCACTTCTAGGAATCTGTCCTTCAGAGATAAAAATGGGACACAAGAATCTATGTGGAAAGATATTTAAGTATAATGTAATGGTGAAAAAAATGGAACCAATCTAACCATCAGTAGTATAACAATTAGTAAACACTAAAATACTGAGTGAAAAAAAAGAATACATGCTGGTATATAAACAGATTGGTATATCTACATTGTTTATATATGTATTCAGAAAGATCCTAAAAGGAATAGCTAAACTCTTTAATAGAGTGAGAATGCGATGGGAGAATAGTTTTACTTTTCTATATTTTTCATTTTTTTTTTCAACAGCAAATGTGCAATTCTTCTGTAAAAAATAAAACAAAAAAGCTCTTAATAGTGACAAAATATAAGAAAGAATCACAAATCACAGTAGAATTTCATTTCCCTACTGTAACTGTCACCCTGATAAACCTTTCTCCCTATAAAATCTACAAAGGAATTGAAAGGTTAGCCATTAACTTGTTGGTATAATCAACCAAAAGTTCCAAAGTATAAACTTCCAAATGCAAACATGTATAAATATACAATCATGTAATAACAGTGTAACTCTTATATGAATAAACTCATCAAGAGTTAACAAATCTCCATTATCCAAACCAACATGGTGGCCCACATAATTTTCCAAGTTTTATGTTTAGTCATGGGATATAAGTTTTCTAACTCCTTAAATTTGAAAGTTACATATGTGAACTTAACAAAGTTCAATATAAGAATTAACAGGTACTCTATGATGACTGGACTCAGTAGGTGGTAGAGAGCCGTTTAGCTCTTAGTAGTCTCTTCCTCATTCCACAATAGGATGGAAAGCACAGTCTGACACAGTGATACTATTCACTGGCCTAAACAGAAATGCCTTCATTCTAAGTTTACTATTAGGAAGAAAATAAGTAGTAAGAATTTAGGATTATTGGGTTTTTGTTTGCAATAAGTGCAACGTGAAAGAATTCAGGCCAATGATATAATCAGGAGGAAATGGAAAGCAATATATCCTGAATAAGCCACCTAGAGAAACTGAAACAGATCTGGGGAATGACAGATCAATATATTATATAATAATATTCTAAGATTTAAAGCAACGGTGAGCAAAAGGAAGCTATTCTTTGATCTATAAGAAATACAAATTTCTACCTCTTTCGGCTCTGGTTCTACCACTTATGACTTTGGATGTAAAAATTACTCGGGTCTCAGTTTCCCTCTCTTCTAAATAAGGAAAATACCACTTACCACACAGGAAGAATGTATGATAAAACAAATAATTCACATGAATGGACTTTCAGTTCTTCAGAAGAAAGCTATGAATCCTTAAGTATGAACCTGAAAAGCTAATTAAAAATAAGATGACCATGTCAAAATTAAGTGTGAAACAGAGTAGCCTAGAGGGTCTTTAAGATTATCAGCTATCAATTCTACCCCAAATAACAGAATTCATACTAAAGCTGTAGTGCAAATGTAGTTCGAGTTCAATCAACCGATACCATTTCTTAATATGTTAATATAGCAAAAACGAGTTAAACAGGTTATTCAGTGTCATGCTGATTTGATGTGACCTAAAATTTTAATGTAAAATAATGACATTCTCTTGGTGCTTATCTTTTAAAAATATATTTGGAGTTGGTTGCTCAAAAAATAATCACTGAATAATAAATACTATAAGATATTAATAAATAATTAAAATAGGATTAAACATATATGTGTGCATGGGGTTATTTCTCTAGTGTATAAAATACCTGGAAACTAGCTAATTAAAGTTTTGAAGTAAAAAAGTAAAGTAATAGATGGTATTATCACTTACTGAACAATACATACAAATTGTGATGCTAAGCACCAGAAATACAAAGAAGTGTTAGATTTACCATGCATGTTCTACAGCTACACTGCAAACTATGGCCAAATACTGGAGAGGACAAAAAATGACTAAATTAAGGGGTACTGTACACAATCAGTTCTGTAAGAATGAAACAGGAATTGGCTAATACAGTGAAAAGGGGAAAAGAAAAAGGGATTCTGGGAAAATAGCTTAACATTTAAATTATCATTTATCGCAGCTTATATTTTCTTATACAGTGGTCATCACATCTGATTGGAAGTTTACAGAAACCTTGGGAGGGAGGGAGGCAGGACTGATGCTTGGCCTATATTTTAGATGAGGAAAATGAAGCTCAAAGAGATTAAGGCAATTTGCCTAAGATCTCAGGTCCAGAGGTGGCAGTTAGAGCAGGGCCAGTTTGCCAACTTTGTCCAGAGCTCATTTCTACTACGCTAAGATATCAATACTAAAGTGAGAACTAGAAAGGAGCTCAGAAACATTCTAATGCAGTGTTTCCTTAATCAACGTAATAAAAACTTTGTGAGACGTGCATTAAGAACAGATTTCTAAGTTCCACTACAGACACATTGACTAACCTCCAGGAGCAAAGTTTTGTATTTTTACAAGAGCCCTAAGAAGTGATTCTAGTGATTAGCTAAGCTTGGAAAATACTGTTGTATATCTGTATGTCCAATATGGCAGACATGTGGCTATTTATATTTACATGACATCAATAAAATAAAAAATTGGGTTCCTTAGTTGGATCAGCTATCTTTTAAGTGCTCAAGAGCCACTGGCTAGTGAGTATCCCACTGGACAGCACAGATACAGTGCATTTCCATCACTGCAGAAAGTTCTGTTGGATAATGCTGATTCTGGACCAACCCTTCAACTGTGAGGATAAGAAAACTGAGGTGCAGGATCATGTCCAACAAGTGCCATGAAGCTAGTTAGTGGCAGAATTGAAACTTTAATCTAGTCTGCTAATGCCCCTCTTACTATATCATCTTACCTCAAATTCAGGTTTTATTCTAATAGAATTATTTTTTCCCCATCTTTTCTGGGGGCGGGAGGGGGGGTGGGGAAGGTTCTAGCAAAGCAAGAAGAGAAATTTGAAATTTATAGGAAAAAAGCCCTAAAAAAAAAGTTTATGAAAAAAAGTCACAATTAAATGCAATCTTTGTATAAAGTTAGGTCTTAGACAGTTGAGAATGTGCCGGTATTAGGAGGCATAGCTTAGCTGTTTTAAATGTTTTTATTTTAAGTCCTTCCTCTTCTATTGTCCTGATGTGTTTATATTTATTTCTTTGGGATCTGAAATTCTGAAACTAATGATCTATTTCAACGGTCTTACCTTAAAATTATACATGTGAAAAGGTTAAATCTTATTTAGGAAACATTTTATAGATTAAAAAATGAGAAACAAGGAGCAACCAATAGAATAGAGACCTGTCTAATTTTGGAATGTGGTAAACCAATGAAGACTTATAGTAATTTAGTGGTTTAGTATTCATGACATTAATATGTTGTTTTCACTTCTAAGCTATAGTTTTACCTTCTTTTGACTATGTCACGTTTTAAAACAATTTAAAGTTGTTTTAACTTCCAATGTAACTAACTGAAGGACTAGAAATATCTAGGAAATTTTAGACATTAATTAGATCAACATATAGCCAGCCATAAAAAATATAGCAATGTGTTCTTTAAAAATAAAACCAGTTGTTCCTGTTTAGTTATGTTTAGAATGCAAATGTCTCCAGAGTCAGTCAACTTAAGTCATGACAGTTCATGTTTAAAGCAAGCAGTAAAATAACCTGGAGCTCCGTAGTACAGTAATTAAAACTTTAAAGACAGAATTATACAGCCCTATTAATTCTTTTCAGTATCTAGTATTCATTGTCATGTTAAATTCTAGTGACTAGATTTAGAGGAAATACTGTATGCCAAAGTTTGTATAAAATTAAAAATTAAATGGTTAAAAAACATGGCCCAAATAAAATACTTCTGAACAGATAGTTATTCAAGACAGTTTTTGCCATAATTTATAAGGCACCCAGAAGCCCCGAATATAGGGTTCTATATAAATAGAAGCTATTTGTTATTCAGAGGAGGTGGTACAAAATAAGACAGCTATTTTCTTTGTAAACACTCTTTGGTGTTGAGATAAACAAATAAAAAAAAAAAAAGTCTGAGCAGAGCAACAGTCTCTAAGCCATAAAAGGGGGAGAAAAAAATGTAAGTGCTCTTTACATTTTAAACAGAGAACTGGTAGTTTAAACTGAAATTTATTCTCTCATTTTCAGACCAGATTCATTACTTCTACATTTTATGTTATGTCTCAAACCCCACTTCACCATCTTAGGAAGAGGAAAACACGTGCTCCCAAGATTCTTATGCCAAAAGAACTACTTTTGGAGGCAGCACAGTTCACCAAATGAAGGAGAACATTAGAAAAACACTAAGTGACAAACAAAAGTAGAAACTGAACTATCTCAACTATCAAATGATAAATAGTGGCACATACTAATGTAAGGAGCATGAAAAATACTGCAAGCTCTGAGCAAATGTTAAAGTGCTGGAAAAGTTTCAAATCTCATAAAAGAGTTGGAAAAAACAGAGAAAGAAACGAAAGCACTGTGAAGGAAGGGCCCTCAGAAGGAAGACCAGCTTGAAAGGAACACACAGGTCAAAAGGAGGGGGGAGGGTTTTCTTCTGATCATCCCTCTACCACAAGATGTTTTTAACAGCTTCAGTACTATCCCCAAGAGGCAATTTCAGGCATCCTTAAGGATTCAGGCAACAAGCAAAGGTGCTTTGAGACAGGAGAACTACAGAGATAATGCTGAAATTACTAACTTCAAAAAGATGCACTAGTCAGAGAAAACAGCCACAAAATCCTCAGATCTTAATTCCCAAGTTTCCTGTAGTAAAATATCAACCGTTCTCAGACATGTAAGCCAGAACTTTTGAAACTGACCCAGCAAAGTTTCTGGCTGGCTCTATCTCTCAAACCCTCCACCCTCCACTTCCCTGCTGTTCTTTCCTGGCACACAAAATATAGGCCAATGAGCGGTGGGTGGGTGAGGAGGATGTGAGAGAAAATTTGAGAAGTAAAAAAGAGAGCAATTTAATAAGGACATGAATGAGTCTGTAGGGTCTATTAAAGGTAGGCAAACAATTAGAACTGAAAAACAGAACGGGCTTTCCCGGGCATCTGTGAACACTTAATGTTTGTTAAGGGTTTAAACAGAGGCCAGACTACCTACCACACTTGTCAGAGAGGCTTGCAGAGGGGACGGCTGCTTTTGGTGACCTCTAATGTCTCTTCCGACTCTGAAATGTTAGGATTCTTATTTCACAAAAGAGAATGCAATGGTCATAGAAGCCCACAGACTTAGAACCCTTTTAAACTAAAGCGGCCTAGGCGGCTGCTGACCAAACACCACTCCCACCTCTCCCTCTCCCAACTTGCCCACCCCGCCCCCTTTCAATATTTCCCCCTCCACGTGCGAAATGCCTCGCAGCACTCAAAGCGGAGAGGCGCCTTCCCCTGAAAAGCACTACAACTATGTCCCCTCGGGGGAAGTGAGGACTCCACTCTCCCACCCTGGGAAGCCAAAAAAAGAAAAGTCTCAAATACAGCCTTCCTCCCCAGCCAAAGCTGAAGGGGGAGGAGGCGGGACGCAGAGGAAAACTTTCTTCTAAAATTTTTCTCCCAGAGTACACAGTGTAGAGAGAACCCCGATAAGTCCCGGGCTAAGAGGATGGGGGAGGGGAGCCCCTGAATCGTTTAACGGCCGGTAGGGGGAGGGGAGCTCTGGAGGTTGAGGGGGCGTGGGATGGAGAAGCAGGCCAGGGAGCGGGGTCAAGGAGCTGCAGGGGATCCTGGGGTAGGGGAGCTGCAGGCGTCCCCCCTACCTGGCACACAAAGCGGCTGCCGCGCTCGGCTCTCACCAGATCCTTTGTGTTTTCCATCAGGGCCTCATGGGTAGGGGCTGTCCGTGCTCCCAGGGCCCGCGGCGCCCCCTCCCCGAGCTGGGGGCAGGCGCCTTTCCCCAGGACTATAGCGACTACAGGGGTGCCCCGGCTGGGCCCAGACCGGTGGCGGCTGCGGCAGCCCCCGGATTTCCCCCCTTTAACTAGGGTGGCCCCAGGATATCAACAATATTAGCATAGCCCTCCCTCCCCAGCGCGCCTGCGCCGTGACCCGCGCCCCGATTGGCCCACTTCCCTACATACCCTCCTCTCTCTCTCTTCCAGCGTGGGACCCTCTGCAGGCTCCGTACTCCACGGGCCGTACCAAAACGAAGGGGTGGAACAGGCAACTGGGTCTCGTGTTAAGTCGAGTGGAGAAAAAATCAGGAGAAAGAGAAGTTTCGTTCAGTCATCCTAGTTTGTACTCTGGCTTTCTTGTGCTCCTTTCAACCAGTTGCCGCTGCGAAGTTGTGTTGGAAAAAATTTTCCACTCCAGTCACGCCGCCTCCCCTTTACCCGGAAGATTGGTCCTCCCGGAGGAACTCCCATATGGGGAGGGGCTCGTGCGGGGAGTGGGCGTTACGTAGGGCGAGAGCGCTGGTCACGTGCTAGTAGACTGCGCAGCCTCGTTCTGGTCCCCCGGGGCCTAAGCCGCAGTGAACAGGGAGGCGTCTCGGCGCACGCGCAGTAAGGGTACACGTGAGCGCCTGCGTTTCTTCTCAAACCCAACGATGCCGCCGGAACGCGGGAGCCGAACGAGACCGGACCGGAGAACCAGAGCGAAGCCGAACCGGAAGACTCGAATGAAGCCGGACCGGAGAGCCAGAGCGGGGCCGGGCGGGCCGCCCCGAAAAGCTGCTCCTTCATCCCAGCGGAAACCGCCGGCCCGGCCGAGAGCAGCAGCCGCGGCGATCGCAGTCGCGGCAGAGGAGGAGAGGCGGCTCCGGCAGCGGAACCGCTTGACGTTGGAGGAGGACAAGCCGGCAGTGGAGCAGTGCCTGGAGGAGCTGATCTTCGGCGACGTCGAGGACAGCGAGGACGCACTGCTGCAGCGTTTGCGAGGCCCGCTGGTGAGAGAGTCCGCGGCGCGCGGGCTGGGCGCGCTCGGGCGGGGCGCGCGGTGGGCGGTGAGCCTTCGGGGGCGGAGCCTGGGCGACCTGCGGCGCCGGGGAGAGCTCAGGTGGGCGGGAGCCCGAGAACGCGGGCGCCGAGGAGGACGAGACCGCTACTTTCCCCACCCCTTTGGGAGTTCCTGCGCCTGGTATTCAGCACGCGCTCAAGACGTATTTGTCGAGCGAACTGTAGTCGTGAGCATCTTCGGGACTCAGCCCCACTATCTTCAAACTCAGTGATTGTTCCCTCGTGGTCATTCGATCGCCTGCCTCAGTACCCGGTGGTGATTCAGGAGTTCCACTTGGTTTGTGGAATCAGAATTAGTGGGCACGGGCCTGGAAATCTGCGTTTTAACATCTCCCCAAGTGATCGACTCGCCAACTTTTGAGAGTGACCCCGTATTCGTCTATTCAGCAAACATTTGTGAGCCTGCTGGGTGTCAGCTCCTTTGCTGGCAGTGAAAACCCTGTATGATTATAATTTTGGCACACTTTTAATCATCCCTTTTATTTTATACTTGGCTTTTTTTTCGAAGATAGGGAGTGCAAGGCATTGCTCTAGGCACTGGAGGAAAAACAGCATTGGATAAAAACTGACAAAAATCTCTGACCCTGTGGAGCTTATGTATTAGTGGCAAAGGCAGAAGACAGAGGAGATAGGTACTACTGTAAAAGGGAGATCTGGGAAAAGGGAGATGAGTGTGTGTGGAGAAAGACTGTGAAATTTTACATAGGGTGGCCAATAAAGGTGGACCTAGCAAGTATCAACTGATTGCCATAACCTCCTTTGGCTACTTATGGATGAAGCTGCAGAAATCCGGTAGGGAGATAGAGAACTACTACTGGAAAAATGCTGAACTTTGTGACAGTTTCCTAGTTAGGAAAAGAAAGTTTGTGTGAGGTGGGATTTGATTGGCTTTGAGGGATCATAGGCCAGTAACAGAGCAAGTAGAAATCATTTGGACATTTCTATCGTGGTTTTGGGAAAGCTCAAGCTCACTTCAGAGGTTATTCTGGGTCTAGATTTAGACTTTATGTTACAGTATAGTTTCTTTAGGTAGCAGGTCAAGAATGGTTAAAAATGGGGAAGAGGTATGTCTAAGAATATGAAATATGAGTTAATTATGACATTCATGTTATTTACCTTTGATGCTAGTACCTCTGGTCCTGTAATTTCTGCAGTTTTGTGATTTTCTTTTGCCAGTTCCTTCGTCTGTCATCTTACATTTTGTTGTTCTTGTCTTACTCTGTCTTTTTCCTTTGAGGGTGTTGACTTTTTCTCCTTAACTGTTCCATCCTACTTTGCCTGTGCATCCTCCAGCATTTGCTGTTGTAGCATTCTGTTTTTTATTTCATCAGAGGGTCATAAAATCACACCATTCTACAAGCCATCTGACTTCAAGATGTGTGTATGTGTCATCACTGGATATGAAAAACTCAGTGCTTCAGGATGTTTTGTTTTCTCTAGGTTCAAGTACAAGAAGACTCAGGTGACTCGGAAGTGGAGAATGAAGCAAGAGGTGATTTTCCACCTCAAAAGAAGCCAGTTTGGGTAGACGAAGAAGATGAAGATGAGGAAATGTAAGTTGCCTAATATTTCTTTCAGAATTCTTCTGGATATTTTAAGTATTATATTGCAGGTTTTAAAAAAGTTCTCTACGAATATGTGAAGATTTGAAAAATTTGGTAAGTATAGAAAAGGTCATTCATAATCCTGCCACTGAGGTAGAACCACTGTTAGCATGCTGGCATCCTGCTGTGCCTCTCTTCTCTGCAGTCTAGACCTGAGTTTGCCTCCTAATTTGGCCATCTCCTAACTGACCATGGACATGTGTGGAACTTACCTCTTCTCGTTTGTAAAATGGAGATGATAATAGTAACTGTATCAGAATGCTCTTGGGACCGAATGAAGTAGTATATGTAGAGCTCTTAGCCTAGTATCTGAAACTGAGAAAAAGCTAAAAGAAAGTTAGCCAGTGTACACAATATGTACTTTAACAGATCAGAACGAGTGTACTGCAAGCATTTCTCCCCACTTCAAAATAAAAACTTTATAAACATTTTTAAAGGTATGTATTACAGTCCATTGTATGAATTAACTATAATTTCCATAGCTAATTAACATATTTGTCTCTTCACATAACTACCCTTTTTTGTACGTGGTGAGAGCACCTGAAATCTCTTAGTAAATTTCCAGAATGTAATAGGGCATTATTAACTGTAGTCATGCTGTACATTAGCTCTCTAGACTTATTCATCCTAAGGAACTACAACTTTGTACCTTTTGACCAGCACCTCTCCATTTTCCCCACCTTCCCACCCCTTGTAACCACCATTCTACTCTGTGCTTCTATGTGTTCTACTTTTTTTAGATTTCACATGTGAGATCATTCAATATTTCTCTTCTGTTTGTCTTATTTCACTTAGCATAGTGTCCTTCATGTTCATCCATGTTGTCACTAATGGCAGGATGAGACCTTAGTGATCTTGCTGTATTAGCTCTTTACACATTGACAATTTCAAACTTTTGTCAGATTTATTGTGGATTTTCTCCCATTTTTCTGTTTGCCTTTTAATTTTGTTTTTTAATGTTGTCTGACAGAGTATTTAAATTTTTATATAGTCAAATCTATGAATCTTTTTCTCGTTTTTAACAGTAAAGAGTCCATCAAAGAGAGATGTATATTTGCCTATATATTTAATTCTTTGTTTTACCCAGAATTGTTTAGGTGAATGTCAAAGTTGTATCTAGATAAGTCATTATGAATTTTAAGTATTAGCTCTTCAAAGGGTAAACTAGGTGATCTAAAATATTGGAGACTCCTTTTTGTTTGGGAATAATGGAGAATGTGCATCTGAGATGTTCTACATCTTACAAATCTTGACCTATATTCAGTTAAATGTTTTCTCAAACTACTAAAGGCAACAACTATTTAATGATTATTTAAAAGTCATTTAAAGTATGCTGTTCTGTTTTTTATAGGATTGACATGGTGAACAATCGTTTTCGGAAAAACATGATGAAAAATGCCTGTGAAAGTAAACTTTCAAAAGATGAGCTTCAAAAGAGACTTAAAGAAGAGTAAGTGTCCTTTTTCATATAGTTTAACCAGGTGTTTATAATCAGTAGTTTATTTTGATTTACCCAGTCTTTGGCTGTAATAGCTTCCTGGATAGTAAGATTTCCATTTTCAAACAGCTTTGCTATTGGAAGAAATTATTAAATTTTAGTATTTTGGGCAAAGAAGGAATACAAGTACAAAAAAAAATTTGAGAAAAAATTGTAATCTTATCACCTGAATATAATCAGTGATAATATTGCTTACTTGCTTGTTCATTTGTATATGGTAAACTGTTTTTCACAACTTCTAGGCTCTTTCAGTTGACCAGAGCTAGGAAATATACGTATATTTCAGAATAAGGATTTCATATTGGTTCTTTCAGTTCAAACTTGCAGATCTTTAAAAATCTTTTAAAATATTTTATTTTTGTTTGTATTGACCTTTAAAATATCCTAGAGGTTTATTGTATTACCACTTTTTTAAAAAGTTTATTGAAGTATAATTTATACACAGTGAAATTCAATCTTTGTAAATTTGGTTAAACATACACAGTTGTGTAAGCACCACAACAATTAAGGAATCAAAATATAGAAACATTGCCATCACCCCCAAAAGTTTTCTTGAACCACTTTGTAGTCTACCCTCTCTCCTCAACTTCTAGTCCCTGACAACCACTAATGTTGTGTCGTAGATTTGCTTTTCCCAGAGTTTCATATAAGTGAAACCATATAGTACGTGCTCTTTTGAATCTGTTAAGCCAATTTAGTGAATCTGTTATTTCAGGTATTATATTTTTCAGCTTTAGAGGATCTTTTCAGCCTGTTTTGTTTAGTTCCTATTTTCCCTTTTGTTATGTTATACTTTCTTTAATTAATTGAATTTATTTACATTAGCTAATTCAAAGTCCTTTTGCGCTATTTCTGTTATTTCTGTGTCTGCTTCTGTTGACTGATTTTTCTTCCGGTTATGGGTCATGGTTTTTGCTTCTCCGCATGTTTAGTGATTTTGATTGGGTTCTGAGGAGTGTGAATTTTAAGTTGTTTAGTTGTCTGGATTTTGTTTTTTTGCTTTAAATGAGTGTTGAACTTAGTGTTGGAAGGAAGTTCGTTGGCTTGGAGATCAGTTTGATCCTTTGAACATTTGTCTTTAACTTCATTCTAGAGTAGTGTATTATATCATAGGCTGGTTTAGCTCCATTACTAAGGTATGCCCTTTCTGGGATCTCTACTGGATGTTCAGTAAGATCTTCCCTCTAAGTAGTTGGTACTCGAGTGTCTGAGCTTTTTGGTATTGTGCATTCGGCAGCTCCTTAGTCGTTCTTGGCCTGACCTCATGGAGTTTTCATCCTATGAGTGTGCAGCTTACTATTCAACAAAAGTGTCTGTGGACCTCTGTGCAGATTTCTGGAACTCTTCTGTAATCCATTGCCCCTCAAAATCCTGTTGTCTTACTCTCTTTAAAGTCTGATCTTTTTTTCCCT